ACATACATACATACATACATACATACATACATACATACATACATACATTTAGGGCCGAGCATTCTGTAGTCGCATTCTCTGCACCAGAGTCTTAGGGGAAAGGGTGTAATATAGAAGCTCTAGTTAAGGCTGAGCTCTCCACAGTCCCTTACATTCTGCACATGGACAAGTTGTGACTCCCTATGTTAATTACAGTGTACTACAAGAAGAGGCTTCTCTGATAACTGAGGGATAGACTAATTTACAGTTATAGTAATAAGTCATTAGTTAGTGCCAGTGCAATGGCATGTCCATTTGGCAGAATAGGAATGGTAGGTTACTCTCTAGGGTATCTAACCTGTCCACCAGTAGTTTCTTGGTCCCAGTAATGGTGCCAAGCACATCCATCTCATATAGTAGGCCTGAAATCCAAGGGGAATTATGTTTGGTTACTTCCATAACAGTTATGCCATTATTGCACCAATGGGCATATCCTACTATGATAGCCATTATAGATAGTTCACATAACTTGGAGCTTGATAAAATTAATGATTGCTCTTCCAGTTTGGTAGTAAGCATAGAGCCCTCCAGCACTATGAAAGGAGGCCAGTAGGGCTAAAGGTTGTAGGTCAGTATCAGCTTAATTTCTCCATGTTTTATGACTCAAGTATATGTTGTCTTCAGCAAGACATCAATAATGGTGTCATAGTGGAATTTTTAAGCTGAGGTTTACTAACAGCTGTTTACTTGGATCTAAGAACCTGGTACTATAAACCTAGTCAAGTACTCTTGGCCAGAGTGGTTTTAGACTTTAGAGGAGAACCTACTACTGTTGTGGATTTGGTTTTATTATGTTTGTATTACATTAATTGGGTTCCCAAAATTGCACAAGATCTATATGTAAAATGCTGAAGGTCCCTGCCCCCAGTCGTTTCTCATTGGTAAATAAAGTTGCTGGCAGCCAGTGGCTGGGCAGGGAGACAGAGGTGAGACTTTAGGATCTACAGGCAAGGGAGAAAATGAAAAGAGAATTGCCATGCCAGAAGAGGAATAAGATCCAGGCTTGAGAGCTGCAGAAGAGAGAGCACACCAATCATGTCAGAGGTGGAAAAGAGTGGACCCAGGTGCCTCCCACTAGGTCTAGGGTAGCAAAGATAGAATATAGATTTTTGTAAGTAATAATTTAGGAGTATTGGAGGGGAGGCATAACCAATGTGCAAGTTTGGGAGTGGTTCAGCCATTGAGCTGATTAAAGTATATTAAATATAAGGTTTCGTGTTTGTGCGTGTGTGCATATGTGTGTGTGTGTGTGTGTGTGTGTGTGTGTGTTTGTGTGTGTGTGTCTGTCTGTCTGTCTTTCATTTGAGAATCCAGAACATTGGGGTGGGTATCAAGGAACTCATGTTGTTGCCACCAGGGCAGTTAGAGTGGATTAATCAACTACCGCAACATACTATTGCTTTTTTTTTCTAAACTAATATAATTTCCAAGTTTATTCTAAATACTTATAGCCACAGAAAAATGTAGCTGCCACCCCTTACTGAAGAGTCTTCTATTTCAGTTGACAGAGGTTACAGGAGAGATCCACAACTAGTCAAGATGTAAAGAGTAAATGCTTTTACGGTTGTTTTTAATGCCAAATTGCCATGAGTTAGACTCAGCTGAGTAAGGATCCTCATCTGAGGTGGCGTCCTGATTGGTCCTGACTGATGATGAAAGGCCTACCCTGATTTCAGGTAGCAGCTTGATAGGAGGCCAGATAAAAAAGGGCTATTTCAGAAAGAAGTTTATTCTAGCTCTCTGCTTGCTTGACCTTCCCTCTTGCCACTGAATTGATCTGCCAATTGTTGCTGCTAATGCTGATTCCTTCATTGACAGTAGAACTAGTGAGTTTCCAAGATTTTCCTGGAGAATATGGACCATTGGCTGGCTCCTCAGAAACTTTCTGGGATCCAGTGCTAGAAGAGGACTACAGAGACAACTCACCTTGTAAACTGGGAGACTACTGCTCATTGCTTCCCTGTGAGGAGCAGGTATTCTGAGACTTCTCCAACTACTGAGGCATGTTAGCCTCATGGCACCAGGTTCTCAGTATCTAACCTGTGATTTGGTTATCATTATTTTAAAACTCAATAAACTCATATATATGTTAGAATGTGTGTGTGTGTGTGTGTGTGTGTGTGTGTGTGTGTTCTATTCCTCTACAAAAGCCTGACTAAAATAAGTGCCCATTACCAATTGATGTATCTGCAGTATAACCCTGACATCAAAGACATAGAGAAAATTGTAGAGGAAGGGCCTGGAAGATTTAAGATCAAGATGATGAGATGCCAGCTGCAGTATCTTCTAAACATGTCTTGGAAGCTACACTCATAACATCTCAATAAGATTGCCCAAATCAGGCCTTCATATGACCACAGCAGTTGACATGCCAAGTGAAGGGGGTCACAAGCTATTACACCTAACAGAAGAGCTACTGGCATTCAATGGTGGGTGAGCGGGGTAGAATTGATTTTGCCTAGGATCAAGCTTCCTGATAGGTTACCCAGTCTCAAGCAGTCAACTGTAAACACATATACATGTAAACAACACAAAATGGACTCTGCAGATATACATATGTAACAATAATATTTATGAAGAAGGCATAGTTTGTGGAGTTGGAGCAGAGAGAAGGAGGGATGGAAGGAATGTAAATACAATAGTCGTGTATGAACTCGAAAAAGCAAAAAGTTTAAATTAAAAACTGCATCTAATTTTAGGGCACTTTCCACTAAGCAAATATAAGTATTCAAAGTAATTATTTATATTAAATATGAATTCTATAGTAAGAATAAAATGGAAAAGTGCATAACATGGGCTACATTTACAAAGAGAGCTTATTTTACATGTATATGAAGACATTGTGGAAATATAATGTGCTTCATTACAAAATATGTTTACAAAGGAAGTTACATTAAACAGAAAATTCCCTGTATTAGCCGTATCTTGGACCTAGCCAAAATGTTATCGATTTAGACCCTGTGGGCTGAATTCAGCAATTTATTTGCTTGGAGTTTTTCTCTCAACTATTTCTTGTGCTGCTGGGTATTTGAACCAAGGGCAATCCCATGTGACCTGAGCAGTATACCACTGATCTATATTCTAACCCTTAAAAATGCTGTGATTTAAAATACAATTATTCATTATTATTCAAGTGTTATCTCTAACTGATTTTTGGACTGCAGCACAGAGAATTTATGGCCAACAAAGACTAAAATATTTACTATCTGGTCGTTTATAGAAAAAGCACCCCCATGTGGTTTATTTAGTGCATTGTGTAAGTTTCTCCCCTTATTGCTGTGATAAAAGTACCCAACAGAGAATACTTTGGGAAGGAAAGAATTAGTGTTGATCAAGGGCTCAAGGCAGCTCACGGTCTCCTCTTTATTCAGTCTAAAACTTCAGCCCATCGAACAGTATTGCCCACAGTAATGGTGGCTTTCACCTCCTTGGGTAACTTAGTGTGCATAATCACTCTCAAACAGGACCATAGGGTTTTGTCTCTTTGTTATTACGCACACATCCTGTCAAGGTAACAATATAACTATAAGTACCCCATCCCTTGTCAACCTGACACCCAAACATATGACTATTAAATTAGTATCTTTGTTCTAATACCAACCAAAGATTTCATTGTGGAAGTTAAACAGTGAATGACTGGTCAAGAAACAGGGATACCTGCTAAAAATTTATTCGTCAAAAAGTATTTGTCAACTCTAGTTAACAATACTGCACCAGAAATTACAGCCCTGCTATTTTCCTTCAAATACATCAGTTATCAGTATAATGAGAAACAATGGTATCTCATTATAGTCTTTTGATGTCAGTGCAAGGCTGAAAATCCTTAATAAAAGCATGAACACTGGGCCAAATGAGAATTAGATACTTCAGACAATAACAACAACACACTACTAAATATCACCACACTTACCCAACATGCTTTTTTTGTGCAACAGGAAATTGATGATCACGAGCCTTCCCACAATGCATTTGTCGGATGAATCCATTTCTTACACCAGGTTCAGAAGTAGCAGATGCATTATCACCATCACCACCACCATGGGCAGCAACAGTGTTGCCATAAGACAGCTTTTTCACTGTGTCCATCTTGGTGCTGAGTCCTGTCTTCCTTTTTTGCTTAAGCTGCAATGAAAGTTTGCTACTAAGAGTACTGACAGTTTTTAATAAAATTGTTTACTTTGTTACTTAACCCAGTTCCATTTTCATAATTTCAATGAACAAGGCCTGCTTTTGTGTGTGGTCCGGCATTGTCACTACGGTATTCTTCACCTCATAGTTTTCTTTTCAATTACATTTTTCTATGTACAATGTTCACTGCCTGTAAGACTCATCTGTGTAGAAAGACACACATGTCCCTTTTATTTTCATTAGCAAGACTGCACATTAAAGTGTTGATTTAGAGAATATGATGTTGTATGGTTCTAGTAATAAGTGATTGTATTAGCCTAAGTTAATATCTTATTTAGTATACTTCTTGGAAGATAGGTGAAAAGCCTGAAGATGATCCATGCATAAAGTACATGTTAATTTCCATGCGCATTCTCCTCTAGTGGATGTGTGATCAGTTGCATAATATTTTCCATTTTAATTGTCCTTGTTTGACCAACAGTTTCTCATTTATATTTGAGAAAGAGCTGGAAGTACAGATGTCACATCTGTCACAATTCTTACCTGGTTTTGGTTCCTGAGAGATTTTCTTTTTGAAAGATGTAATTATGAACATTAATTTGATTTGATTCTTAAGTTCACTGTTAAGGTAATTTTTAAAAAACCAAATTTACAATTAATTTAAAATAAAGTTAATTTAGCCATTGAATGATTATGGTCATAAAAAAGTAAGAAACTAATTGAAATTCATCTTCTAAGCTTCATCCTGTATTTTATCTGCTCCCCAAACACTAACAGGTACTTCAGACTGAAAAGAAATTTGCCATTGCCTAAGTTAGAATTAAGATATGAACAGTGATCTTAACTCATTACAATTTTGGAATAAAGTTAATTCATTTTGTAAAATTTACCAAAATCAAATTAAATGGCCTTAATAATATATGAAGATTTCTTTTGTTAAAAAATCTTTACATTATCTTAAGTAGTGAGCATTTACAATGAATTTAAGTCATGTATCCAAAATTCTGAAAATGGAGAGTAAGCAAAGTTGAAACTATTTAGGAACCTGCTGCAGAACAGTTGATCACATTGTGAGACTGTGTACTGAAAAAAAAAAAAAACCTTTTTCTCATAGTGGTGTGGCTCAGACCTTAGCACCCACATTTAATCCCAAATAATGAAGGTAAAGTTAGTTTGTAGAAGGAAGCACTCATATTTAAAAGTGATGTCTAACTAAGTGGCAGACAAAGTGATGAATCAAAGAAATATTTGACAAAATAGGATATGCTCAACTCTGACGAGAACAGAGAGGAAAGGGAAGCTACTTAAGAGAGAGCAGCGCAGAGAAGGAAAGAAGCAGTTTTATGGGGAGAATTTTACAGACAGGTTGAAGAGTGAAAAAGCGAGACAGAGGTGAAGATAGAAAGAGACAGAACAAGGAGGAGCCAGAAGATTAGAATAGATTGCCAGAGTTAGTTTCAGGCCAGGAAGAGCAAAAAATCAGATGCCTAGAGAGAAGCCAGATTGAATCAACCAGAGGAGCTAGAACAGCTGAGTTGAACCAGCCAGTCAGAGATCAGAAAGAACTAGAAAGGGTGGGTTTATTCAGCAGCAAGTCTTAGAGGCTGAAAAAATTCTAGGTCTAGATAAGATTGCATGGAGACTAGAAGCTTCCATGACTAGGACTAAGTTAGCAGGACAAGGCAGTAAACCTCCAAGAGGACAGTTACATCAGGTGAACAAAAGAAAGTTTAACAGAACTGAAGTCAACTCAGCCTCAAAGAAAATCAAGTTCCTGCACTGTAATTCAAATCACACACTGTGATACTCCTTTGTACTACTAGGAGGTAACTGTATGAGTTCAATCAACATATTCTTATATCTACTCCAGTTAGCAGAATACAACCATTGAATAAAAATTCCTAAATTTCTACATTGCGACAAAGTACATTAGGATGGCATTCTTTGTAACCAAACATCAACCATCCTTTTCTGGAAGGTGTCATTATTTTATACTAGGTAGTGGAGTTGATCCTATGACTCAGTGCTTTCCTATAGTGGAAATATTCAAGTCAGTCACAAGAAGGAAAAACTACATTTTTGATGTTGTAGATACTTAATGTCCATAGGAATCAAAAACATGTTACCTGGTAGAAATTATTATCCAGACCACAAACACAACTTGCTATTGCTTTATTATATAAAGAGGCATATACGTGGAATACAAAGATTCAACAATTTCCACTCATTTCAAAGGAAAAACTTCATAAAATTTTGTATGACTATTCTAATTTCTATATACATTTCAGCGTTTTCCCAATTGACTACTAAACATTATAGATTCTGCAGTGAACTATAAAATGTTACTCTACTTGGTCTATGCTGCATTATTAAATAAATACATACAATGAGAACTTTAAAGGATTACACACCAGTGACTGGCTGTTCTCACTGCCATTTTCCCTGTTCTGGTCTCTGGATGTCACGTAGATGTTTGGTTTTTCTGAAAACCCAAAAATTTAAAACAAAGTATAAAGAGGGGTTCAATAAACAACAATCTTCATAACACCACAGAGGAGACAGATGACGCAGTAGGTGAAGCTACTTGCTGCCAGTACTGGTGACCGAGGACCAGCGCATTGGAAGGAGGGAATTGACTCCCTCAAGATGTACTCATGTGTCCCTGTAAACCCTCCAAAATCTAAATAAATGGACAAATAAATATGTACAAAAACTAAAAATACAATAAATAAATGTACAAATAAGTATGTATAAAAATTAAAAATAAAAATTTTATTTTCAAAAGAAATTGATTAACCCTTATCATTACTTGACTATTTATTCCCTTTTCTTGGGTATATAATTCTCAACAAATATTGGAAATTACCAAACTGATCAGTATTTTACTTGGACAGACTTGTTCAGAAATAGAATATCAATGAACCAACCCTTGGAGACAACACTTTTAAACCCCACAGAAACATTCAAACTCACCCTGAACACCATTTTCTATCTCGGCCCTGATGCTTAAGCAGCCTGCATTTGACTCATCAGAACTCCTCTCCCTTCCCCTCTTTCTCTCTGACGATGATGCCCCCTCCATCTGAAGACACTGTCCACGTTTCTGTAAAGCTTCTTCTTTCCTTCTCTTAAGACTCATCCATGGTGGGAAGTCATCACTGACGGTGGCAATTTTAGTCCATTAGAGCAAGCGTCTCTTTTGCATTCTTTACCATTTTATCAACTTTTATTTTACTGTCACTCCGACACTTGGAATTTAAACTAGTGCTGCATGCCTACTTCTCTCATTCCTAGACTGGGGGAGGGGAGAGACTTTAGCGTTCTTTCCATACACACGATCAGGAATTACTGCTTCATTTTCTTAGTACTCCTCATACTTCGTGCATTTATTAATTTTCCTGTTTGCACTGCTCTTCATTATGGCTCAACACTGCTCAGATGCACAAGTATTTTGAAACAGATTTAAAGTGGCATTCCCATTTGCAGCCTATGCTGAGCTTGATAGCCGACTTATTACTGTTTGAGTTCTGTTTGAACTCTCTGTATATGTAATAAATAATTCTCATTGGCTCGTGGCATACACCAGGGCTCCCGACCTGAGCAATTACTCCACCAAATTGCTTTGAACTAAATAGAGTTCTGACCTTTCATTTGTCCATTTGCCACATTTTCTCCTCTCTGAGCTACAATCTTGAGGAAATGGTCAACATCTTCCTGTGCAAGAGGCTCAGAGATGACCTGTTGAAATCATTTTAACGAGAAAGATTTTAATGAAGATCTCTCATGCATTACTGGAAAAGACAGCTTAGTTTCTTATTTCAAAGCAACAACACTAGAATATCATGGATGTTATATTAAAACTCAAACTATTGAATAGTGTGCCTCACAAGCTCATTTATATCCAGACAGTTTATTTTCATGTAGCTATAGATTACTACATAAACCAAGCATGAAAGGCTGGTGAAAACATACTTATAGATGGCATATGTCAACAATAAGGAGTTTTGGATATAAAATTATACCTAGTTTTTCTCTGGAAAATATACTTAAAATGTAAATTTAAAAGATTTTTAACATATATGTTATATATAATTTAAAATATAATATATAAATTAACATGCTTTAACATATATATGTTGGAGTGATGTTTTTGTACATTATGTTATGTTAGATATATCTCTGTTCATCCTTGCCTTTCTAAGATACATTCTGATTGGTTAAAATAAACAGTCTATGGTCTATAGCAAAAGGCAGAATAGAAATGTGGGTCTTCCAGGTAGAGAGAGGAACACTGAAGAGACACGGAAACTTTGCTGCCAAGACATGGAGGAAATCGGACATATAAAACTGAGGAGAGGTAACTAGCCACATGGCAGAACTTAGATTAGTATAAATAGGATAATTTACTTACAAGAGAGTTGGAGCCAAGCCTAAGCTAAGGCAAAAAGCTATTAAATAAATATATACCTCTGTGTCATTATTTGGGGACTGGATAAGTCACAGAAAGGTTCACAGTTACATGTGTGTGTGTATGAATGTGTGTATGTGTGTATGTGTGTATGTGTGTGTGTATCTATAATAGACACATATTCAAATATTTAAATGTTTTAAATCATTTGACAGTTTTGTATATTAATGAACAAATATAATTTCCGCCTCTCATATTCCTCTTTCATTCCTCCTTATTCCCTTCCTTTTCTACTGAAACCCATATTCCAACATATTTTCATGATGATTTCCTTTCTTCTTCTGTGTGACCTGCTGACCTTAATTAGAGTTACTCACCTGAGTGTATGTGGGTAGTTATTTACCCAGTATAAATAAACAAACAAACAAATAAATAAATCCTAAACTACATCCAATGAAGCAAATGACACCCCTTTCTAAACAATTGTTAATTGTCAATAATGTCATGTCTGTCATGGAGTTAATCAACCACTTTCTGATTGAATTTTGGC